TCTCGAAATTCAGAAATTTTTACATCAATACGACCCTTATCTCGCCACGAGTCTATACATACCAAATTCACAAAAATCGGAGTTCATTTGACCCCTCAAATCACCATTTAATTCTCTTAAGTTTCAAGCCCTAAACCACCATTTTTGTCCATAAATTACTTGAGTTTTCAGCTCTAATCCATGTATTTAACTTGGAAATAAGTAGAAACAACTGACCTTTGATGCTTGATGAAATCCCCCTTGAAATTATCTCCAAAATAATCCAAGCCAAATGAAAGAAATAAGCCAAATCCGTGTTTAAAAGAATCTGTCTGTGCTTCATCGAGTTGTACCTTGCACTTGTGCTATACAAGTTGTATATCCTATTAAAATTGTTCTTTGTCGGACACCTTCTATTTAAACACTCATAACGTCTTGTATAAATATCCAAATGACAAACGGTTTGAAGATTTAGAAACTAGACTCAAAGATCTTTAATTTGATAGGTTGTACACCATATAAATCTTTATATATCTCGAGATATGAACTTCTAAATCGACTCCATGAAATCAGAAAATTTCTGGAGAAACTGCTCCACCAGTCATCTTCAATCAATCATAACTTTCTCTACAAATGTCCAGATTACGATTTCTTTAGCTTTCTCGAAACTAGATACGAAGGGATACAACTTTCGTTTTTGAATCATCTCAAAATTCCTTGTAGATCAAAAGATATAGGTCTCCGAAGTACGCTCCATGACTGCACATTGCTGTCCAAAGACAGCTTAGCAGCAGAAATTGCAGCAGCTTTTATTTTCACTAAAAAGGCTCTAACTCCATTATACGAACTCGGAATTAGACGATTATTGTTCCTATAAGTCACAAATAATAATACGAACACAACCCTTCAATCGAAACTCAATTCGGAGCTCGTTTGCCCAGTTCAATACCCATTTCGCTCGTTAAACAATTAACTCACATTTCACGTCAAAAACCCAATCGCGACTTGATGAAATTAAACCAAAATTTCCAGATCAGTCCTATAATTTATGATTTAAATTCTGGAAGTCTCTAAATCAAATTTGGATCTCTAGAACTAAAAATGGACCCTTGGATCATTACATGTTTATGCTCAAAACGGCAAAAATCTTCCAAAAACTCTTCCAAAACTTATCAGAGCATCATGGGACCCCGACCAAAAATGCCAACATAATCATAACATCATTAAAACCTTCTCAAATCATCAAAACACCTCAAACAACATCAAATTACCCAAAACTCATCGAATTCAAGCCTAAGTTTCCAAAAACTTCCGAAAATACACTTTCGATCAAAACCCCGACCAAACGATGTCCGAATGACCTAAAATTTTGCACACACATCACAAATGACATAACAAAACTACAACAATTCTTGGAATTCCATGCCGACTCCCGGATCAAAATCTCACCTATCAACCGGAATTCGCCAAAATACTAACTTCGCCAATTCAAGCCTAATTCTACACCGGACCTCCAAAATTACTTCTGGTCATACTCCTAAGTCACAAATCATCCCTCGAAGCTAACCGAATCATCGGAATTCAAAT